TGTGTGTGTGTGTGTGTGTGTGTGTGTGTGGTGTGTGCACCTGTGGAGGTCAGAGACTAAGTAAGCTGCAGAAGTTGGCTCTCGCCTTCCACCATGTGGGTCTTGTGTCTCAAACTCAGGCTGTCAAGCTTAACTGCAGGTTCTTTACCTCCTAAGCTTCCTCAATGGCCTGAGACCAGGTCTTCTGAGTGAACCAAGGGTACAGCAGATGAGCATCTGAGGAGGCCACTGCTTAGCCCCCTGCCGGCATTCCCTTCAAAGGCAGCAGTTACCCAGTTACCCAGAACCCCTTGGTGCTCCGAAACTACCTTCTTCATTCTATAACCTTGGGTGGCTTTGAAGGTCACCATCTGTGTCTGAAGTCTGTGTTCAGGCCCCACTGTCACATTCCTGCTGGGAGAAGGCAGTGTTAAGTGTTACGGCTCCGAGGGGAAAGTCATCGTGGCAGTCAGGAAGCCAGAGAATAACACCAAGTCACACCACACACCAAACCTCACAGGCTGGCAGAGCCACAGCAGGGAACTGAGCAGGAGACAAGTTTTACATATGGCTTCTTGGGGGCAGAATTTTCTAGGTTGGCGATTTCCAGGGTGAGGATTGATGGGATTCTAAGTCCTGAGCTTAGGGTGAGCCCAGGGATTGGCAGGGTTTCAAGTTCAGAGATGGAGTTCAGGGATGGGTGGGTTTTCAAACCTGGAAATGTGCTCGGACCTTTTACCCTACAGGCAAACCTCTGAGCATTTCCCACAGGGAACCCCTCCACCAGCCTACCCTTCCTGGCTGTTACAGCAGGCCCTTTCCCTTCTTCAATCCCTTGTCTAACCACTAGCCAGCTGCTGATAGAGAATCATGGGTCACGGCATCCACGTCCTAAGGCTTGGGCCTCCCTTAAGGACCAGATGAAGATGCAATGTAGCAATTGGTGTTGTGGTGTGGACTGCCATCCCAGCACTCAGAAGGTCGAGGCAGGAAGATTGTGACTCAAGGCCAGTGTAACCTACACAACAACAGTTTGTGTGGTTGCAGACAGTTTTGGTCTCAACAACGAGAACAAAATGCAGAGTTGGCTCAGCGGTTAAGAGCACTGACTGCTCTTCCAAAGGTCCTGAGTTCAATTCCCAGCAACTACATGGTGGCTCACAACCATCTGTAATGAGATCTGTTGCCCTCTTCTGTCCTGCAGGCATACATACAGACAGAATATTGTATACATAATAAATAAATATTAAAAAAAAAGAAACAAAATGCAGAGTGCCTCCCAAGGCCTGGGAAGTACCATGAGGTGATCACTTTGCCTGCCAGTTGCCCCCTGTCTGGAAGCCACGTGCATCCTTTTCTGTTTCTTGGAGGCACTAAGTAAGAACCTTCCTGCCAAGGCTGCTTTCTTTATAAGCAAGACTCACCCTTCTTCAGGTTTCTCACCCTCACCCCCTTTTTGATTTTTCAAGACAGGGATTCTCTGTGTAACCCTGGCTGTCCTGGAACTAGCTCTGTAGACCAGACTGGCTTTGAACTCAGGACTGTCCTCATTATTTGGTTTTGGTTTTTTCAAGACGGGGTTTCTTTGTGTACCCCTAGCTGATCTGGAACTCGATCTGCAGACCAGGCTGTCCTCGAACTCAGAGATCTGCCTGCCTCTGCCTCAGGGATACTGGGCTCTGTCCCCATCATTTTAAGGCAGGTGCAAGTGTGGGCTTCAGAGTGGGCCTCCCACCTGGAGTCAGGAGCTGCCTTGCTCAGTGCATAGCAGAATCCCTGACCCAAATGGAGTATGGATGGAAGGACAGACAGTCTATACTGGGTGGCTCTGGGTCACCTCTCTGTGATTCCCGAAGAAGCCAATTCCCACAGGCCCAGGTGTCTTCCAAAGTCCTGAATGACCGTTAACCATCTAGCTAGAGGTTCTGGAGACAGAGGACAAGAGGTGACCAGGGGAGTCCTGCCCTCCCCCCACCCTACTGTGGCTCCAGGGGTCTCAGGGACAGTCCCACCCGAACAGAGGAAATCCTTGAATTTTCCGAGGGTGAATGGAAGCAACCCTTCTTGTTTATTTCCTGGTGAATTGGAGAGGGTGGGAAAATGACTGGGGGCCGGCTTTAACTCTTTCTTCCCTGGATTTAATTGTCCCCTTTCCGGCCAGGCTCCTCCAGGCTCCTGGCGCCTGGTTTTCCTGAGACTTGGGGTGGGGGGAGGGTTATGTGAAAAAAACACAACAAAAAACAAAGTTCAGCAATAAATAAGTCCCTGGCGTGTAGAGTCTGGGAACCAGGAAATGCTTCCCCAGGCCCCTGATGGAGGAGGATGCAAAGCTGGGGGCTGGGGAAACACACACACACCTGACCAGGAGCCAGGCCTGTAGAGGCTGGGGGAGGTGGGGACTTCATCTCCAGTCCTTGCTGCAAAGCTGGGACACCCCACCCCCATCCCACCCACCCTGCAGTGCAGAGTAAACTCTCAGGCGCTCTGGGGTTCTGGGATGTTCAGTTCTGGCAAGGGGGCCAGGCGGCCACGGCAAGCTTTTCCCATTACCTCACCGGAAGGGCTGAGCCGAGGCTCTCAGTGGGTTATGGATCTGGCTGGAGCTGCCCTTGCAGATGTGTACCCCAAGTCCAAAGCTTGGGGTCTCCTTCCAGCTGGGACCAGTTTAGGAGTGGGTGGGTTCCACTGAGACCCCAGATGCGGACCTACTTTGTGCTTACCTGCAGCGGAGTTTCTCTGCTGGGAGCTGAAGCTTCATCCTCTAACACCCAGGACTATGTGGTCTTCTGCGACCCTTCTGTCTGCACAGAAGTGGATGAACTCTTGGGCTCAGTTGGTAGAGTACTTCCCTTGCATGCATGACACCGTGGGTTTGATTCCTCAACGCCACAATACCCCCCACCCCGTTATAAAATTGGTGGCTTCTGTATTCCCAGCGCTTGGGAAGTTGAAGCGGGGGGGGGGGGGCTGCTTTGAGCTCAAAACTAGCCTAGGATACAGAGCAAGATGCTGACAATCAAACTAAAACCTAAGCCACTAGACCAGGATCTTGACCCACAGAAGAGGCACATACACACACACGCACACACACACACACACACACACCAGCACCAAAACTCAATTTGAACTTTTCAGTGTAGTTTTGGCCTGCTGACCCCAACTTTCTGAGTCGTCCATACACACACACACACACACACACACACACACACACACACCAGCCAGCCTGAGATGCACAAGGAAATGTGATCTGTCAGTGTGACCGGCAGGCCAGCTCCGCCCGCCCGCCCGCCCTGGACACCGGTTCTCACAGCCCCAGCAGCAGGACTGAGGCTCCCACAAGGCTGCTTTCCTCAGCAGATGCTCCTCTGCCTCCAACTTGCTACAAACACCAACCAGATGTTGGGACTGTCGCCCACGGGGGTGGGGGGGGGGATGTGTTTGAGGAAGTGGTTTATCTGGGGAGCCCAGCCTGGATTAAGTAGAACCTGGAGGGGTGCAGAAGTGTGCCTGAGGACTCAGCTGAGATCATCAGAACTGGGTTGATGCAAGCCCTCCCTGTGTCACAGATAGGGAGACCAAGCATGGTGAGGTCAGCAGGTTAATCTGCTTTTAAAAGTAGGAACCTAGGCCTCCTTCTGAGTCTGACCAGCACAGAGAACTCAGGCTACACCAGCCCTCCCCGAGCCTGCCTGGACTCGGTCCCCCAGGTACTAGTTGGAGCATGTGAGAGGCTGTGCAGGGTCAAATGGAGAAGGATGAGCCCACAAGCTCAGCTCACCTCAGCATCCCTACGGAGAACCTACAGGTCAAGATCCTGGAACTCAACCTCTTCAGGCCACCCCTTGCTAGAGGCCCATGCCTGTAGGATAACTGATCTCCCTCCTCGCCAGAACTTGCATGCATGCGCACGCATGCATACACACACACACACACACACACGTGCAGATCTGTTAGCAATTATACGTATATGCTCACACAGGTCACCTACCATTAAGAGTCTGCAAATAGGACCTTACATATGCATGTGCACATGCACACACATGCTCACAAATACATAAGCTTGAGCAAAACCCACATATAGGCACCCGCACGTGAAGAGACACACACATATCTGCACACCACGAAGCTGTCCCTGGAGCACACAGGAGACAAGGTGGCCTGATATGGAGAGGGGAGGTCATGGCCACCAAAAGCCAGGTCATCTCTCTCTCTCTCTCTCTCTCTCTCTCTCTCTTTCTGCAGCCTGCAGGGGTAGCAGTAATGCATACCTGCAGAGGAGAGGTGTGTGCTCAAGAAACAGGTGCCTGTCAAGTTGCAGGAACTCAGCCTTGGCCCAGTGCAGCCAAGACTGCCTCCAGCTACTGACCCTGGGGAGTAGACTGGACAGGTCCCCTCTACATAACTGAAGGAATGAAAGAAGAAGCAGCTGTTTCAGGTAGACTCCTGCCACTTGAAATTCGCACACACACACACACACACACACACACACACACCTGGATGAGCGTCTTGGGATCTGGCTCTGGGGTTCATGTTTAGGCTGCCTGTTGTGCCAGAGGACAAGCAAGCACTTCCTGCCTCTTTTGCCCATCAGTGCGCCCATCACCTGTGCCCCTCGTCATTCCACTGAGTCAGTGAGAAGGCCTTGTATGTAAGCACAGCCAGGCAAGTTAAATGTTTTCCTTTATAAGAGTTGCCATGGTCATGGTGTCTCTTCACAGCAATAGAGACCCTAAGGCAGTGGTATTTCCTCTCACATCTGTGGGATTAACATTCAGAGGGCCCGGTGAGATAAAGACCCCAACCCAAATTCAGAAGCCAGACCCATCCGTCCAGCCCACAGGGACTAAAGAGTTGCTCCCAAGGAAACAGACACCTCAGAGGCATTCCAAGCCTGGGGCAGAATCCAGTTCAGTGGATTGCCAGAGTGAACAGGTACATCAAAAGAAACCAGCAAGCCTACCTACATGAATGAAGCCTGTTTTCACTAATTCAGCCACGATTTGGGTCAGTGGTCTTTCTCCTTGTAGCTGTAGGATGCACAGTCTCTGCTTCTTCCAGGCAGCCAGCCGGTCTGGTCGTAGAATCTTCTTTGCAGCTTTTGTCCTCTGAGGAGTTTTCTTTGCAGCTCATCTTCTTTGGCCTAAGAGGGACTCTCGGTGTTTATAGTTTACTCTGGCAGGGAGGGGGACCTAGTGAATCTGGTCAGGTTCAGGGTCTTCCTGGAGATATTTTGAGTTGTATACCTTCTTGTTTAAGGAGCTCCCCTGCAAGGTGGAATGTTTCAACCTGGGAGGAAATGAACATGACAATGGTCTATGCTTCTGGGGTTAGCATCGTAGTGAGTTCCCTAGGATGCTCACGCCATAGATGCTTGAAAGGGTGGGTATAGAGATGGACAGATGTGCTCTTGACTAGAAAGAGCAGGGAGAAAGGGACTCGGGAACCTAGGGAGACCCAAGATTCCAGGAACCCTGTTTCCTACTTCCCCATCCACTCGATGCCCAGAGTAGGATCTTACAGGTCCACACTATGGGACCAAGGCCCAGAAACTGGAGTATTTGCTCTAAGTCATACAAGCAATTCTTAGGAAAGCTTTAGCTTGTGGGGAAGGAGAGTGGCTTCTACCAGATGCAGAAGCTACTGGTCCCTAGAGGACAGGGCACTGTTAACAGGTGCAAGTCGGGGGAGGGGCAGAGACCTGGTACAGGGATGGGAATCCAAACAGTGTCTCTCCAGGTCTGGTCCTACTCCTCCAAAGTGATGTAACCTCCTCTCAGGGTGTGCCTCAGTTTCCCATTCTATGTGTAAGTTTGTTAGCATGGGAGTCTTGGTTCCCTACAGGAACCAGGGGACCTGAGGCACAAGGGCTGGGTGGTGAGCAGCTGACTGGCTGTGGGAAGCGGTCTTGAGGTGGAAGGAAGGCTGGCTCCAGACAACCCAGGACAAGGGTGACTGCAGGGACAGTCCCTGGGAGCAGCTTATTGTGAGTTGACAGCCTGAGAGAGGGAGGAAGTAGGTTAGGGGTGGGACCTACAGATCCCAGGCAGTGCGAGGGGAGGGGAGCAGCAGGTGGGGGGAATAGCTGCCCCTGAGGACCAGCTCCTTGTGGCCTGCAGCAGCCGCTGCTGACCAGGTAACGGCTGTCAGGACAGCAGAGGCCAGGTTTTATGTACTGTTCACATGAGGTCTACTCTATTGCAACATGCTCCTGGCTTGGGTCCTGACTAGCCCGGGATGAAGCCCTGGGTTCTTAGAGGGCTCCTCCAGGAAGCTCCTGGCCATGACATAGGGCACAGGGCACCAGGACATCGTACCTATGTTCGTTTGGCATCTTCTTGGAAAATCCAGCGCCCACTATGAATGTGCTGTGTGGTAGAGCAGCACAGACGGGGGGTGGGGGGTGTCTTGAAACAGCAGAAATCAATTCTCTCCATTACAGAGGTCTGAGGCCAGGTGAGGTCAGGTAAGATGATCTAGGGTTGAGGATTCACCCTCTACTCTGCCCGCTTTCCCTCAGTGTCTTGTCTCGAAGGCCTGGCCTACCTTGTGACAGAATCCTTGACTGACTACATCTGAAGTCCTTTTACCAGATAAGGTCCCAGCCCTGAGAGTTTGCCCCCTACGAACCCAGACTCCAGGCCAACACCAGGTCTAAGGAGAACCCACCCTCCCCTTACTGTCTCTGGTCCTTACTTAGGGTTTGCTAGTTTTTTTTTCTTTGTTTTTCTGGAGCAGTTGATGCTCTTGCCCACCTGGTGGCTGCAGGCTTTTTTCTGGGTCCTGGCAAGTCACATGCGTCCCTCATGGGTGGCCTGCTCTCCTTGGCATGGATCTAGGAGGCTCTGATCCTCAAAGCCAAGAACAGAGCTGTGGGTAGCAGTAGCTGTGGGCTAAGCCCAGCATGGGCAAAGAAAGAAGACACCAATTATGGGTCCAAGAGCCTGGGAAGCCTGTGGCAGGCATGGTCCCCAACCCCCAGGTCCCAGCCAGGGCTGGGCTAGGGTTTCCCAAACTGGTGCCACCACCAGGCTGGGGCCTCCCTGGCATGTCCAGCCTGTGGCTGGCTCCCAGGACGCTGCAGAAATGTCCTTTTGTTGGCTGAACAAAGCGGCTTTGAGCTGTGCCCTTATCACATACTGTAGTGAGATGGGACACCAGAGATCCGGGCAGGAGCCGGCTGGCCAGCCTGGACAGGCATCCCCCAAGCCTGTGGAGGCAGAGAAAGCCCGTGGAGGGTTGGGGGAGGGAGAGGTGAGTGGCACCTAACTCGGGGAACAAGGCACATTCAGCAGGCACAAGGGGGCACAGACGTGGATAGACTCCGGCACACAGGTAAACATAAGCAAGTTGCCCTGGTTGGGCCAGGGTGGTAGTCAAGCCCCTTCCTATACATGGTCCCCTAAGACTGGGTGTGGCTCGTCCTGTGTCTATGCCTAGGTCATCCTTCAAAGCACCGTAAGGGTTAAACCCTGTACCATTAGGCCAATACTCCCTCAAGATGCCACTTTGGGCAGAGTACAGTGGCCCTCTACCTCTGCCTCCTGCCTTGGTCATTCTTTAGGGCTCTGGGCAAGTTCCTCCCTCTTGCCTTCCTCTTACTGCATCCTGTGCCAAATGAGTCAGGAGCCACCTTCTGATTGAATGAATGAACGAATGAATGAAGTGAGGGCTGGGGTAGAGTACTTCCCTAACATGCACAAAGTCCCAGGCTCTAAGACCAGAATTGCACAAACAAGGTGTATTGATGTACACATGTGACCTTAGCCCTTAGGAGGTGGAGACAGTAAGATCAATTCAAGATCATCCTTGGCTGTGTCACAGTTCAAGTCTAGCTTGGGCTACGTGAGATTCTGTCTCAAAAAGAAAAAAAAATAGAGGGGTTTTGAGATGGCATTTCGGGTAAGGGCCCTTGTCACCAAGCCTAAGGGCTTACCTGAGTTTGAGGTTTAGAACCCACATGGCAGAAGGACTGACCCCGAAAGTGTCTTCTGATCCAAACAATGCAATAAAGAAATATTAAAGAAAAGAAACCTAAAAAGAAAAAGAAAAAAGTAAATGAAGAACGAGTCAGGGACATAAAAAGAATCCCACATCATATCCCTCCTGCCCTAATGGCTTGGGGAGGGAACTGGTATTTCCCAGACTGAGTAGAGGGACTCACCAGGTAATCCTCCTTCTAGATGGATGAAGGCCAGATAAAGTGCCGGGCAGACTCATGTGACCCTGAGAGACTGTCACTCTGATGGAGGCTGGGTGGGTTCCGTGGAGACGGCTCCATGATTGGATGAGGCACTGATGTCAATATCCATGCAGGCCTGCCAATGTCCAGCAACGGGCAGGGACCTCACTGGCCATGCTGCAGGCCATACTGGCCCTGGGCTGATACTGTAATTGGAAGAGGGTCCCCTGATTCCTGCCTTCCCCTCCCCCAGCCCCTGAGCACTAGCTCCGTCCTCACTTGGGTCCTACCTGTTGTCCAGGGAGACCAGAAGTCCCACTATGAGGACCCGTCCCTCAGCTCTGAACCTGGTACTTAGCCAGGCCAGTCTGTCTCTCCCTTGCCCCTGGCCCCCCTCCTCCCCCCACTTAGCCCCTTTCTGCCTGCGATTAGGGTCTTCTACTTTTCTTCACTCTAGCCTCCACAACTTTCTCACTAGCATTTTCTATTTTTTTTTTCTGGAAATCTCATGCAATCCAGGTTAAACCTAAGACTCTATATAGTCAAAGATGACCTAGAACTTCCAATCTTCTACCTCTCAAATGCACCATCATGCTGTTTATACAACGATAGGATTCGAGCCCAGGCTTTGTGCCTTATAGGCACGCACTCTGATAACTGAGTTACATTCCTAGCCCCCGCCCCCAAACATAAAAGTAACTTCATCAGTGGGGACGGGGATCCTTGGGCTCTCTGAGAACCTGGCTCCTCAGGAGCAGCCCTGCGGGCTTGGGCTTCAGGACCGTGTCTTAGAAAGCTCTTCTGTTCTGCCCACTGTTGTCAGGCTGCGGCTGGGTACAAGTTCTGAGTCCCCAGCATAGTATGTACTTCTGTCCAGATGGAAGGGGCCTCCTAGGAGCTCTGAGGGCCCACATGGCTCACAGCCTGGGGCAGGCAGGCTGGAAAGTCTGAGGAAAGCAGAATCTTCCGGAAATTCATACTGAAAAATGCAGATCCCACAGATCTCCGTAACCAGAGAGTCACAGTGTCATTTATGTCCCTGAGAAGAGCCCAACCGGCCATGGGTTCTTCTGGGTGGAGCACAGAGTGGGAAGAAGGAAGAGTTAAGCCACACACTCACTGATGAGGACAGCATGCACTCACTCACACATGAACACACACATGAGCATGTGCGCTCACACACACACACACACAAGACAGGAACTCCTACACACTCACTGATGAGGACAGCATGCACTCACTCACACATGAACACACACATGAGCATGTGCGCTCACACACACACACACACACACAAGACAGGAACTCCTACACACTCACTGATGAGGACAGCATGGCACTCACTCACACATGAACACACACACACAAGACAGGAACAAAGGAAGAAATTTTCTTGTCAACTTGTCCTAGGCTTGACAAAAATGTACAAAAATCTAATACAGAAAAGTGTTTTTTAATGAACTCAACTATACAGAGTAACTCTCTCACGTATCAGTAGCTACACAGAATAAAACTTCATCGAGGAACAACTGCAAACAGAATAACTGTTCCACAAAACAACAACCATTAAGTAAATAAGTCAGAACAAGATGGCTCCGCAGGTAAAGGTGCTTGCTATCAAGTCTGACAGCCTGGGTTTGACTCCTAGAACTCACATGGTGGGAGGAGAGAACCAACCCCTGCAAACTGGCCCCTGACTTTCACACACACCAACACTGTGTAAGAGATTTTTTTAAAAGTCAACGTCTGGCTGGGCAGTGGGGGGCACACACCGCTAATCCCAGCACTCAGGAAGCAGAGGCAGGTGGATCTCTGTGAGATTCAGCCTGGTCTACAAAGTGAGTTCCAGGACATCCAGGGCTCCACAGAGAAACCCTGTCTCGGAAAACAAAAAACCAACCAACAAACAAAAATAAAGTTTGCTGTTTAGCGAACTAGAGAAAGCATTTGGTGACTGCATCACAGAAGGCTGCTTTTCTCAAATATAAAGAACAGCAACAAACCAACAGCAGTGTCAGGGAGTACAAGAAAGATAAAGCTATGCAGAGATATGTCACAGGAGAGGAGCTGGTTCACAAAGCTTTGAGGAAAATGCAAATTAAAGCTGTGCTAACATATCAGATTGGCCGGGTCTGCTTCCAAGACCATAGCAGTGGGAGGAGCCAAGGCTCATGCACTGTTGTCATGGTGGTGACCTCTGCAAACAGTGATTTGGGGAATTTCCCAGCATTACCCATGCACACTCTTTGACCCCGTCCTAGGAAGGCATCCTGACACTGGGTACACTAGAGGAAAGCTCAGCACATTGTGTCGCAGTGGCGGCACAAGCCACTCTGAAACAGTCCCCAGGCCACAAGCCACTCTGAAACAGTCCCCAGGCAGATGCGGGAGTGACAGGAAGGATTTCTCTGTTTGACACCATACTGGGAAAAGAGCGGGCTGTAGAACCTGCCCTAGGGAGGGCCCACAGGACCCTGTCACCTTGGCTCTTCATGGGAGGGAAATTTTTCTGAACCCTTTCTGGAGCACAGGAGCAGGGAGGGGAGCATGGAAGGAATGGGCTGCTTTCCTTTTGGCTTCAGTCTGGGTCAGAGCTCTGGGTACTGAGTCTAAATCAGGAAGAATGAAGCTGTTAGTCCTTCACCAAGCACTAGTGTGCTGAGTAGACCGAGTTCAGTGCTGACCAAGGGAGCCTTGTCTCCGCAGGCTCGGCCAGATACAAGGACAAGCTACAGGTGACAAGATTTGTGTGGCCTGCTGTGCTGGACCAGAAGCAGAGAAAGGAACAAAAGGCCAAGGCTGGTAGCTGGTGGGCCCACCCTTTTGCTGGGGAGAGTCCCCTGGTCTGAGCTTCCATACTATATGGGGCAGGCTGAAATGGGGGCCGCAAAGCCAGGCTGTAGAGATCATTGTGGCCTAAGCGTCTGCATCCTTAACGTCTCACTGAATGGAGCATTAGTGTCCAGTGAATGTTGCCAGCGCCAATGGGATGCCTGGGCCTCCATTCCGGGGCCACCCTAGCACTGGCCAGCCGAGCAGTGTACAGCCTTCCCAAATTCTGGGTCTCCTCATCACTCATGCCTGCCAGGAGAGAAGATGGGGAAGTTTACACAAGTAGGAGTGACTGAGGCCTGCTGAGCACAGCGGTCCAGGTTCTCCACTGTGCATCTCCTAGCAACAGTCTGGTCTTCCTGTTGCCTTAGTGAGTGGAGCTGTAAAATGGATAGAAGACCCCATCCTGAGAGGGCATCTAGTTTCAGCCCAAGGTGTTAAGGGGGCAGGGGAGATGGGGAGGGAGAAAGAAGAGCATTTTCATCAGAGATGAGCAGAGAGTGCTCTTGTGTATCTGACCACGAGGGGTCTGCCTTACCATCTTCCTCTAGTGGACCAGCTCAAGGCTCTGCGCCCACGATGGGTGGGCTGAAGCTCTGGACGCTGCTCTTTCACCCACTTGGTCCCACAGGATTGTAGGGAGACATCGGATGCCAAAAGTTCAGAATCTAAGTGACTATAGGCAACGAGGCCCAATGACCCCAAGGGCACAATCTTGCTTCACCCCAGTACTCCGACTCTTTGTTAACTGGGATCTTGCAGGGTTGGCTGCACATTGAGGCTCCTCACTCTTTGTACCCCAAGGCTGGCTCTGCTGATCCCCACTTCAGGGTACAGTTTGAGTGCAGAATTACAGCTTCTGTCTTTACATGTGACACTGGCGACGAGGGTGCATTGTTAGGCTCCTGAACCAGACGAGCCAGAGGACCTGAAATATCAGGCAGAGAGGCCCAGAGCCAGTTCTCAGGGAGAGCAGACAGACTGCTAGACATTGGCCCCAGGCTTGCAGCAGTGGGCATGGGGCAACAAGAAGAAGGGCCTGGAGGGGCAGCATTCGCAATCAGGAACCTGCATGGGGTGACCCGTGGATAGGTGACAGGCAGGTCACAGAAGTGTGCTAAGGATGAAGTGAGACACTTGGAAAGCGGGAGGCCATGCAAGCAGTAAGGAGTTCAGGCTTGGTGTGCCTGCCCCTCTCCGTGACTTTACTCTGCCCTGGGAACAGGTGTTCTGTAGACAGCATAGAGGATAGGGTAAAGAGTGCCAGGTTTTGACCTTTTCTGTCTGGTGCCCAAATTCTCACAGACGACCGACAGTAGCCAGCCTAGACCAGTGCTTGGCTGGGTGCCTGTAGTAGCTCTCCTCCTCTCTGTGCAGGGCGGTGCTGGCCTGGCTGACTCCTCTGGGAACTGAACAGAGGGGGTTATTCTTGCCTGTCTCAAGAGAATGTGACCACTCTATACCCGTGGCAGATAAGAGCTCAGATTCTAGTCCCGACCCAGCTATATGCTTCTAGTGTGATGCTTGACCAGTTGGCCCCTGCTCTTAGGCTGTTTCCTCATCTATAAGATGGGCTTGGTGGCTGTCCGTGTGTCAAGGCTGAAGTGTGTCCTCTGAGCCTGGCTATAGGGAGCAGGCTGGGTGGGCATATGGCCATGGGCTGGCTATAGGTGAGATACTCAGGGCTGGGACAGCAGGTTTTGCTGTCTGTGTGTGAGGAAAACCAAGGCATGAAATAGGCACTTTCCGAGGACAGAGCCTGAGAAAGAGACAAGCAGGGTGACCTTAAGGGCTTTGGAGGCCAATTGTAGTGTTGAAGAGGACAGAGGATGAGGGGCAGCAAGGTCTGGAAGAGAGCTGCACCTACCCCCCGGGCATTCATGTTGTCACCAGAGGTCTGAGCAGTCTGGGATAGCTCTGAACCGCGGGTAGAGAGATGGACGCTGATGGCCAATGTGAGGATGCCTGCCATCACAGGCCACAGAGCTGTGCAGAGTAGCATTGGTGGCAAGGGCCTAGGCTGACAGGACATGGTGTGACCATGGCAGGGATCCAACATGGCCACACACCCTCCTCTCAAACTCTGGGGCCCAAGGATCCTCCCAGTAGGATCTGCACCTACTCAGAGCTCTCAAGGGCTGCTCTAGGCTGGGAACTCAACAGAGGCAGTGATCTAGAGAGAAAGAGAGCTTCCACTCTCCAAAGCCAGCAGTATGCATGTTGCAGGGGCCCCCTCCTTAGTGGTCCTGGACTCCAGAGAGTCACAGACCATAGCACTGATGGCTTCCATGTTTGCCGTTAAGGGCCCTTAGGGCATGGGTGATGGTGGAGGGCACCTCTGGGTTAGTAGTGTCCCAGTGCATATAGGGCTCTGACTCAGGCCTTCCAGGCCTTCCCTCTTTCTCTCCTGGCTGGTCCCAGCTCCCCGAACCTACCTGGGGACAGTAAGGGGAAAAGTGGCCTGGTGCTGGAGGAAGGAACCACAGGGACAGGAAGAGGCAGAAACCCAGGGTCAGACTCAGCCTGGATCCACCAGACCTGTGCCCCTATCTCTTAGACAAACTGTGACCCATTTAGGGTCTATGTCCTAGGCGTGATCCTGCTGTCCCTGTCTCTGAACATACCCTGCGAAGCCCAGGCCTTTGATATCCAGAACAGGACCCAAACCTTCTGTATACCACAGACTTGTGCTTCAGAAGGAGAAACTGAGTCAGGATTCTCACCAGCACAGGCACTCTGCAGATACACACACACACAGAATACCCCACCTGAGCTTTTGACTCACCTACTCCCTAAGGCTTCTTTCCTGACACGTGAGCTCAATGGGCCCCAACCTCAGCACCCTCCATGGTAAGTAAAATTTCTGTAGCACGGAAGCTGCCTTTGTCCCACACTGAACATCCAGCATGGTCACCAGGCCAGCTACTCATCAAATTTTATCACCACCAAGAGACTACATTCTCTTAGCTCCCGCCCAGCGGCTCTGTCCCAGCTGATTTTTCTACCCTGGACATATCACGTGAAGGTCATACAGCCCAAGGACCCTGGCAGTGGCTTCTCCGAGTCTAGCCTAGCACTTCAGACCAATTTGTTGGACCCTGCACCAAAGCTTGGTTCCCTTCCTTGTTCCTTCTCCTCTGCATCCCTTTGTCCCTGTGTGTAGGTGACCTGGAATGGTCTCCTCTGCCCTGGTGCTCTAGTTGCCCTGCACAACTGGGAGAGGAGGCAAGTACCCCTCCAATTGTCCGGTGAGAAGACCCGGGCTAGAAGGTAACCAAGACTTTACCAAGTCACTGAGAGCTTTCCCTGCAGAGAATGTTGGAGAGGCTCCTCTGACCCTCCAGGTAGGGATTGGGCAGCCAGCAGTATGTCTGGTGTGACACTGAGCAAGGATATGGAGACTTTCTCTTAGGAAATAAATGCAGGAGTCCCCCTTCCGCCCCCACATCACCTCTGCAGCCTGGCAGCCTGGGGGAGGCTAACCCAGCAAGGAGACGAGATAACTACCCACTTAGCCTAGTAATTGCTCCTGAAGAACAGAGGTGATTAATGGTGAGAATAACACGTCCCCCCTGCTGATGGCTGGACACCACTGGGTACAGCCTGTTTTCACAGAAGCCTGATCATCTTCTCTTTGCTTTAAACCATCCCTGAAACCGGAACGCACTGAAGCCTGGTACAGCTGTTCCCCAGATGACCCCCAAGCTCCCCTGCTCACCCTCTTCCAAACCAGGGAAACTCTGGGCTGGCCTCCAGGATACTGGAGCTCTCAGGAGAAGTGTGTCCATTCCCAGCTCTGTGGATTAGGCAGAGGTCAGGATGGCAGATCTAGGGGTTCTGGGCCCCCACAGGACACCTGTAAGCTCTACACCTTGGGTACCTCATAGGGTCTTATGGGAGCTCAGACTGTTTCACCAGAATGTCTTTTAGGGATGTCAAAGTCATAGAAAGCCCAAAGCATCCTTAGAACCTGTGAGCCAGTGGTTCTCAGCCTTCCTAATGGATGCCTTAATACAGTTCCTCATATTCTGATGACCCCCAGACATAAAATTATTTTCATTGCTACTTCATAACTATAATTTTGCTACTGTTATGAACAATAGTGTTAATATCTGTGTATTCTGATGGTCTTAGGCTACCTTTGTGACAGGATAGTTCAACCCCCACCTGGGTCATGGCCTACAGGTTGAGAACCACTGCTCTGAGCTGTGCCAAGGTAGCTGCTGGTTTGTCTCTGTCTTTGTCTCTGTGATGACTCAGTTCCACCACTCTTTTTTTTTTTTTTGAAGACAGGGTCTCACTATGCAGCGCTGGCTGTCCTGGAACTGACTAAGTATACCTGCAGGCCTTGAACTCACAGAGATCCTCCTGCCTCTGCCTCCTATGTGACACTATGCCTGGCTTAATTTTCCCCATTCTTAAAACAAGCCTCACAGGGTGATAATAATGTATCATGAAAAAATAAGAAGCTGCTTTCCTCAATCCAGGGTCTGAAGCCCACCAGTGAATGTAAGCGAAAGTTAATCATGTCTAGCCATGAAAACATCCTAGCCACAAAAACAACAACCCAACTCAGACCCATAATGTGGGGCCAGAACAGGCACTGAACCTACCTCTGGGACAGGCTGCTTGAAATGAAGAATTCCTCCTCTGCCCACCTTGGCTAGGAGAAAGGAGGTGGAAATGGGTGAGCTATCTTGGAGTTGCTCAAGATAGCCATCCAGGCCTGCCAAGCCCTGCTGCCTCTAGCCCAGGCAGTGGTCCCTGGTGTAGTAGTCCCCAGGCTGTGTCTGTGGTTCCTTCAGGCCGCTGGTCTTCAGGTGTTCAGGGCCTTGTCCTCACCTTCCTCATTCCTAGTCTGATTTCCACAGCTATGGGGATACCACCCCACTCCTGGCCACCCCCACCCCACCTTTGGAATCTGCTTGCCTCTACTCTCAGGAACTGTCAGGCTGGCACCTAGACATTTGTATGCCACGTTTCTCAGCTAATACACAGGGAACAGTAGAGTCGGACAAGGAGGGCTAGAGGACTGGGGGATATGTGGGAGCAGTTCAGGGTGTCCCCCCTGCCCCCATCTCCACCGGCTTCCTCCCCCTGAAGCACATCTGCCTCTGCATTCCCCAGGAACTGGGACAAGTCCTAGGGATGTCTCTGCCCAAGGGATGAGGATTGGCTGGTCCAGGTGGTACAGCTCTGCCCTCTGCCCTGCCGCCCACTCACCCCAGCCCACTCAGTGACCCAGAGACAGACCCGGAATTCAGCCAGAGCAGACGGGCTGCAGCTTCCCACCCGAATAGCTGGTGGGTGGTGGCCTCCCTCCTGTGCGTTCAGGCGCAAGCTGGAATGCAGCCTCCATCGCTCTCCTTGGCTGGAGCAACACACAGAGCTCAACTTTCTGCCTGCCTCCATCCTGCCTCTTCTCATCCAAGCCCATGACTGTGAGCGTTTCCCACGCCGTCGGACTTTCCGTGGTTCCCCGGGCGTCACTGGTTACTGTCAGCAGTCCACTGCTTAGCTGGCTGGCGCCGCCCCGCTCCACACATTTGGTCCCCTTCCAGGTCTGGGGTTATAAATAACACCTCCAGGGGTCTCCGCAGCAGCCAGCTTTCTGGCTCCCACGATGCTTCCTGAGGAAGAACTCCCAGAGGTGGAACCCACAGGTCATGGTGTTTGGGCTTCTAATGCCTCTCGCTACCCACGGTCGCTGGAGTGGATCTGGGAACCAGCTGGGTGGAAAACGAAAACTGCCAGGCCCTAGCTGCAGCAGGGACCTCAGCTGCTCAGGACCGACATTCTCCTCCGGCCTTGTACTGTCAGCTTGCACAATTCTGAGGAGTTCTCACGCTATCAGACCCATATGACAGGCTCATATTTTTTTGGTGGACAATTTGAGTCTTCAGGGTCTGAAAATATCCCAGGCAGGGCTTTTTGTTTGTTTAGTGGGGCTGCTGAAAATGTAACTTAGGGCCTTGGTCTTACTAGGCAAGCGCTCTACCGCTGGGCCCCAGCCCTGACCCTCCTGGAGCTATTTTCATCCAGAACAAGCTCTAATCAGAGACAGACAGACATCTACCACCAACCTCAGGGTAACCTTGGTGACCTTCTGCTACTGTGTGGGCCTCAGTTTCCCCACACAACTCTAGTGGAGGGGTGCAGGCTGGGGCAGGCTTGACTAGAGTCCCAGCACATGCTGAAAGATTCATACTGGAGCAGAATCTCCAGTATGTGTGTACTGAGAGGCCAGGCCCCGGAGCCTCAGGGTGCTTGCCAGGGACCCTGGTTTTGTCTGTGTTATTGAGCTGGCCCTGCTCTGCAGCCCAGGCTGTGGACTCCTGAGACAACCACAGCAGAGCTGTGGTGATGGCCTGACAGATGGCACAGCCAGGTAGCGGACAGATCACAGGGAAGTCACTGTTTCCTGCCGACTTCACAGCTCTGTGACGCCTCTGGCCTGCTCCTTCCTTTCTCTCAGGACCTCCAGCCTCTGTGGGGTTTCCTGTTTACTGTGTCTCAGAGGCCAGCCTGGATCTGAATGGTCAGGGCTAGTTGTCGGAGTCCATGATCATCTCACTCCCGGGTCACAGCGCTGCCGGGCATAGGGCTGGCAGAGGTAGGCTCGTCTCTCATCTACTCTACCCTGGACCCTGGCTTAGAGGCCCAGTCCTCTTCAACAACCCAGCCCAGCTTGGCTGCCCCTTCTGTAGGAAGCTATTCCCAAGATTGAGGGAGCTAAGGAGCCATGGGCACTTCCCACCCAAGCCTACATCCTAGCTACCTGTGCAGGTCTCTAAGTAGTGTGACTCCCAGGCTGGTGCTCAGAGCCAGGACCTTAAGCAGGGCCTCGACAGGAAACTGTGAGATCCCCACAATGACACATGCCTCAGACTGTTGGCTCAGTTGCAGGTGTTAAGGAATCAGGGGCTAGGAAGGGGAGGGGACTATCTCCTACCTGTCCCAGGACCGCTCAATACCAAACTAGCAAACTGCAGGTGAGTAGGTGGGGGGCGGGGAGAGGCCACCCAGAGGTCAGGAAAAGGGTTCGGTGAACTAGGAAGGACAAACTGCAATGCCAGCCTTCCTCTGTTAATGACCACCTGTCCAGCTCACATTCAGGCAATGTTTCCCAAGCAGGCATGGTCAGATAACACGACTGAAGTAATCTGAACTTTTCGTAAGGATAACCTCGATTTTTGGATTCTTTTCCCTCTATCTCTCAAGAGCTAGAAGTGCAGGCATGTGCTACCACAGCCTGTTTATAGTTTATACAGCGCTGGGGACGGGGGCCTTTGCACTATGTAGGCAAGCAAGCTCTCCACCCTCTACCCCCTGAGACCCAGCCTATTTGTGTGTTTCCTTCCTTTCTTCCTTCCTTCCTTCTTTTTTTTTTTTCAAGTCAGGGTTTCTCTGTGTAACATCCCTGGCTGTCCTGGAACTAACTCTGTAGACCAGGCTGGCCTCAAACTCACAGAGCTCCACGTGCCTCTGTCTCCCGAGTGCTGAGATTAAAGGCATGCACTACCACCGCCAGGCTTGTTTTGTTTTTCAAGATATGGTTTCTCTGTTTAATGGCCCTGACTGTCCTAGAACTCATTCTGTAGACCAGGCTGGCCTCGAACTCCATCTGCCTCTGTCTCTGCCTCTGAATGCTGGAGCTAAGTGTGTGCTCCACCATGCCAGGCAAACAAATGTATTGTGATTTATATTCTTAACGCACCCATGGGAGAGTGCAGGAGAAAGAAAGGATGTACCCTATTTCCATGGGCGTTTATCGAGTGTCCATAAAGTCTGTCTCCTGGAAGAACAGGCCTGGAACTCAGGCTTCTGTCACTGAGGTGGGGGACAATCTCCAACACTTCCTTTTCCTCTCAGGTTTGCCCTTCTTAACTGAGCCTGGCTCCTGGGAAAAGTCTTCCTTACCACAGCCAAAGGAAACAAGACACTCCTGAAAATAGTGACCCCTCCCTGAGATGGACCAGGACGAGGGGCTGGCAGTTAGAGACCCAAAGGACTTCCCCAGGACTGGCTTGCTGTGTACCCTAGGCAAGTGTGACTGCATTCGCAGAAGCAGGGCATCCTGGAACTCACTGTCCTTAGAATAGCATGACGCTACAGATCGTTAACCTTACAGCCAGTGTGGCGGAACCCCAGGTCACGCTCATTCCCTGCTGGTCACTGTCCACATCTGGATCGGATCCCATCATCTGCCTCCCAGCCTCCATCGAAACAATCCAACTGGGTCTTCCTATTGCCATACTCTGCTCACCTCTCCCCTCATCTGTCACAGGGCCCTGGGACTGTCCCTCTGCTCTGAGCTCTGAACTGATGCTGTCTAAAAGTCTCAGCTAAGCAGGGACAGGTGGTAGAAAGTCACCCCAGGGCAGGCTCTCCCCACGCTCCAGAGGAAGCTTTCTTCTTCTGAGAGCAAACAAAACCTGCAGTCTGGCTGTGGGGCCCCCAGCACCTCTGACCCTATGGTGAGGACTGGAGTCCTCCCAAGCGCCTGTGTGTGCGGAAACACCTGTTGGCCCTAGAACGCTGGCAGCAGACACAACTCGGCACATGGGAGAGCACTGGGTGGCCGTTTCCCTAAGGAGCCACCAACCACAGCCACAACTATAGCTGGTTGGATTGAGGAAGTGGGCAAGGGGCGGGTGGGTAAATGTCTTTAACCGGAGAGGGGGATGCCACTTGGCCAGGTGTTAAGGGGGTGCATGGCCCTGAGGCAGGCATTATGGCAGACCCCGGGACTGGCCTCCGTAGCCTGGCAAGGAAGGGAGTGGACACAATGTTCTTGTGACAGACTTAGGGCCATGCCCCTTCCCACATACACTGACTCGTCAGTGGCTCCGAAAAACAGGCTCTGCGGCCATCCTGGTCCTCATGCTGGCCAGCCTGACCCACTCCTGGACATAGTCTGGATAGAGAGACAGAGAAGGGAGGCATTGTAGGCCCCCCATCTCAGATGTCCACTAAAAATACTGACCGCAGATGTATCAGGGCAGTACACAGAGAGTCCAGTTATCCCACTTACCCCACGGTGCCCAAAGCAGGTCCATTCCATGACGGGGAGCCCGAGGCACAAAGCAGGACTGCGTCTGCTTGCTAGACCCAAGTCTGAGGGCCCGTAGCCAGGACTTGCTTCTAAACCTGAAGCCAGCTCCCCAATTCTTTAGTAAGCACTGGGCTTGTGAAGTGGAGGGAGAACTCAGACTGAATCCTTCTGCCTGTGGTTTTATAAGGGGCTGGGGTTCAAACCCTAAAGCTTCACACATGCTAGGCAAACACTCTACTGAGTTACTTCTCTAGCTCAGAGGTATTTCTTGGGAACAAATCAGCTTTTTGCTCAAAAGTTAATGTAAATTCAAGTTTGTTTTTTGTTTGTTTGGTTTGCTGGGGTTTTTGTTTTGTTTTTTATTGTTTTGTTGTTGGTTTTTTGTTTTGTTTTGCTTTGAGATAGGGAGATAGGGTTTCTCTATGTAACAGCTCTGGCTGTCCTGGAACTCACTCTGTAAACCAGGCTGGCCTTGAACTCAGAGATTTGCTTGCTGCCTCTTGCCTCCTAAGTGCTGGGACACTAGTGTAAATCAGTTTTTTAAAACCCATTATTTTTAATCCCAGCACTCTGGAGGCAGAGGCAGGTGGATCTCTGTGAGTTCGAGGCCAGCCTGGTCTACAAGAGCTAGTTTCAGGACAGGCTCCAAAGCCACAGAGAAACCCTGTCTCGAAAAACCAAACCAAACCAAAACAAAACCATTATTTATGTTTAATTTTTGTTCATATGTTTACCTGCACATGTATGTGTGTGTGTGTGTGTGTGTATGCGCACCATGCTTATAGCATCTATGGAAGCCAATAGAAGATGTAATATCCCATGGAACTGTTGTGAGCCTCCACAGAGGTGCTGGGACCTGAACCTGGGTTCTCTGCAAGAGCAGGAAGTATTCTCAAGTGCTGAGTCAGTTTTGAAAATGTGGGTGCAGAGTCATAGGAGTGGGAACTACTGGGGTGTCAGCTGGGCTTCGTAGAGATGATCTACAGCCCCAAGATCCTGGTCCTGTCCGTATTTTCTGTAGACAAGCTCCCTTGGGAGTCCTCTCTCTGTTTCTAGGATATCTAGCTACCCCAGGAGGTCAAGCAGAGACATTTGTACACACACACACACACACACACACACACACACACACACACACACACGCAACCAGTTAACACAAACTTGTTCCCCCCCATCACCTAAACTGTCTTTGTCTTACAGAGAGGAGAGGTAGAAATGGAGGCCTAAAGGGCCTGGGCCCTTCCTTCTCTGGTTTAGTTCCCACCTTCAAAGCCACCTCAGTATATTTGTGACCTAAACCATTCCTGTCTTGCTGTCTTGTTTCCTTGGGTAAAGTTGGTCAGAGCAAGACAACAACAGTTAAAGATGCAGTCTGCCATTTAGTT